CAGTTGGACATAGTGTTGTATTAGAGGTAAAAAATTATATAAATACTGTTCAGTTTCTTGCACAGACCGATCGTTTCGTGTCTTTAGACATCAATGTATCGTCACGAGCCGCAGTGTTTAATTTGGATTTGTCTGTGCATGTTTTTTTTTACTCTCATAGATTTTGTTACCATTGCCATGCATTATACGACTGATAGACTGCAACGGTTAAAGTTAAAAATCATCATATGTGTTCTACTGAAGAAACAAAGTCACCTACATCTTGGATGCCCTGGGGGTAAGCAGATAAACATCAAATTTTCATTTTTGGGTGAACTATCCCTTTAAGATAAACTTACTTTGCTTTACTTTTTGATCCATTGTATGAAAGAGAAATCAATTAATTTGAGCAGTTTTTAAATGACAAATTTCCCATTCTCATTCCTCCCTCTTATCCTTAATATTTCATTTCGTCTGTCTTTACTATATTAAGAATAAAACCCACAGGGGAAAAAGACAAATAAGGTAATGTAATATAACTATAGCAGGTATTTATCATTCATTTTTGCATGCATACATGCATATTTTAAGGTTGAATTTAAAACCAGATTAAATCAAACTGGAAAAATACGAAGTCTGAGATGTTTACTAATTAGTGGTGTTTGGAAGGCACATTTTAAAAACCCCTAAACCTAAGTATTAAATATCAGCCAACATGCCACATTTGTGCTATGAACATGAATAATTCCTAGAGGCATGCTATTACATTGAGGTCTTATGAACTTATGATATACATAATAAAGCTGGACTTTCACTGAAAGAGGGACCCGAGACACATTTAAAGATCAGAAAATCATAGAAATTTGAATTGCCCAATAATCAAGCACATATGGGAGACTTCTGAAATCTAATTTTCTGTCTTTGCAATTTCCATTGTTTTATTGTGGAAAGAGTCCCTGAATTATTTTATCAGTCCACCTTCTTGCTCAGCCTTTTATTCCAAGTTGCATGAAAACCAGGAGAATAGACTGAGATGCTTTATTCTTGGACTTTCTTTAATACTATATTGTTGAGCTTTACAAGGAGCCATGTGCTTCCTGACTCCATTGTATAAAACATCTTCCCTTCAAAAATGTATGAACATACATAGCTATTACTAAATTCATGCAGGACAACAGTTACTCTGATGTATTTGAACAGTGCACAGCAGTCTCCTAAGAATACTTCATAATGAAAAATCTCCAACACGCACATGCAAACATTTAAGGGGGGAAAAAAGCCCTTTGAGAGTGTTGTACCAACAAACAGGGTCAAAGAGTCATATCACCAAGCCACAATCATTTTTTGATTTGCACCTGTTGCGGTGTGAATTAGAGGAATATGTAGAGCGCAGATCTTTCATCTGTTAATGAGTGCGTTTGTAGAAAGGCTCCTCATGCTGGCGACATCCTTTTCATCCCCTCGTCTGCCCTGCCTTTTGTCCCGCCTGGCTCACCTACAGCAAGCGCACTATATGAGCATTCAATTAAAGTCTTTGGAGGAGGAAGAAAAATGCTGGTGAGGAGACGGGCAAGAAAAACAGGCCTTTTCTTCCAGGTGAACATTGAAAAGGCTTGAAAAGGGTCTTAATTAGGAGATATGTCTAGATGTTTAATTAAGGTGATGCCGGGATAGCGATATCGGTGCATCAATGAACAAATTCTCAGATGATCCCAAATGGAGCAAAGCTAAAATGTGAGAAATGTTTTTCAAATGGTGTATTTAGGGCCGTATAATGATGCCTTTTATAGCCGCAGAATAAATGACCCGTCTGACTTGAAGCTGATGAATACCTGAGCCCACGGCAACTGTAATGTATTCCTCCAAAAAGTCTCCGCTCACATGTCCGTGTCCCTCCACGGCATCAGCATACTTAACGGATTTTAACGATACGTAGATGTTAATTATTACAAATACCACTTCTAATGAGCTAATTATGAGCTCCTCAGGCATCTCATATCAGTTTGCATAGATTAAAGACTAATGTGTTTGATTAACACTTCAATGCAGACAGACAGACGGATAGACAGACAGACAAATGGACACATTGATAGATAGACAGCAGACAGACAGACAGAATGATAGATCTAAGTTACTAGCATGTTGCTAGCATGATTAGCATGTACAGACAGACAGATAGATAGATAGATAGATAGATAGATAGACACAATGATCAAGAGACAGACAGATAAATAGAACTACAGACATACAGACAGACAGACAGACAGATAGATACAATGATCGAGAGACAGACAGATAAATAGAACTACAGAATGACAGACAAACAGATAGATAGATAGCATTTTTTTGTTTTATCTTTTGAAATCAGTTTATTTCCGCATTTAATATTCCCTGATCTATAAATTCCATGATCCACGAATATTCAAAATATCTTTTTAAAGATTTAAAGATTAAAAAAATGACCCATCTATGGAAGCATGAAAAAACAAAAGAATAAAGACATTTTGTTAAAATAATTATTTTAGCAGTTATTTAGACCAACATATTTAACAC